CAGATGGGTTCTCATACCCATTAGGCTCTTTATGTGGGTGCTAAGGCTCCTAACTGCAGATCTCACACTTCCACAGAGCCATCTCCACTGCCTCTAGTTTCAAAGGCCTATCATCTTCATCTGTATAGTTTGCAGTTAAGCAGCACTGGCCGTGTATCACACAAATCTGTGTTTGTGTATTTGTATAGATGTACCTAGCACATGCCACCTTTGCTTAATAATATCCTGTATACAGGAGAGCGGATCCCCTCCTTCTCTGGGCTCCCACAGTTCATGCATTCTTCATCATATAATGGTTCTTCTGTTTGAATTTAACTTGAAAATTACCTAACCAATTTAAATCACTGGATCCTAGTATGCTTCAAATGCCTAATGCAGGAGCCCCCAAGTGACCGTGCACTATACAGCACATACTGATTTTCTTCTCTAATCCATCAAACATAAATTTGGCAGGCAGTGACCATTGCCAAAGAGTAGTGGTGAATATGAGATTGGACTAGAGTAGGCCCCAACCACGCTTGTGAATTACGCTAGGCTCATGCTCCCTGTAACACGTACCTGTGCATTGCATTGCGTAGCTCACCCCTAGGGCCTAGTTCAGAACTCCTGATAACCAGCTTCTGGGAGAAAAGAAGCTTGGAACATGATGCATGATAAAGAGGAACTAGCTGGAGGTTGAGCTGTTACAGCCCTGCTCAGATGTGACCCTGCTAGGAAGCACGAAGGAACAGTCCCTCTGGGGGTCATGCATCTGCTTGATCTCCATCTGGAAAGCACCCAGTCATCCCAGCACTTTGGAGTGTGTCAGAGGCAAAAGTATCAGGAAGTTAAGGGCAGTCTAAGTTACATAGGGGTGTTTGAGACCAGCCTGGGCTACTTAAGACTCTGTCTCAAAAACTATCACAAAACAAAGAAATGGCAACCTGGTCAGAAGCCCTAATCAATGTTAATTGAGTCATGCTAGAGGGCCAGAAAATAGGGAGAACTGATTGTGATAGCGATATTGGAATAAAATACTTCAAAGGCACACATCATGTACCAGGCCCAGTTCTAATTGCTTTGCCTGTAGATATTTTGAGTAGTAAGCGAACAGCTCTCCCAGAACAGGCTGTGTGGGAATATTTATGCCCTATTAACTTTACCAACAGCTTCATACAACTCAGTGCTTGTTCAATGAACTAGTGTACAAATTGCCCCAGGGCAGCAATAGTTGCTATGTGTAATTTCTATATGTGTTGCCTTTCACATTTAACTTTTAGCTTAAAACACGTTATCTAGTCATTATTAACCTTGTGTTGGATTTTTTTTAAGTGATGCTGGGGATTGAAGCAAGGACCTTGTAGATGGTAGGCAAGCACTCTACCACTGAACTATGTTCTCTTCTCTCTTTTTACCTCTTGACACAGGTTCTCAGTAATTTGCCCAGGTCGGCCGTGAACTCACTCTGTAAACCAGACAGCCCTGGAACTTACAATTCTCCTACCCCAGCCTCCTAAGTAGCTGGGACTGCAGGCCATGCTTTTCTTTATGCATGAATCATAACTATGTCACATTATTATAGTCCACTTAGGGAAAACAAATTTCAAGGGAAGGGAACAATTTAGACAAAAAATATCTATAGGCTTTTTGGAAGGTGAGATTGTTTAAAGGGCTCTTCCTACTCCTAGCCAAGGAGAAGATACATGCTATAATGCAGAATTATTTGGATTGAGCCAATGACATCCTAAAGGAAGGCCTAGAAACTGCAGTGTCCATTTGTTACAATAATGGCATCGAGGCTGAAAAGGTGGCAGAAACAAGGTCTTCTGTGATTTTCTCGGCCACGCCCTCTGCCATGCTGTAACCCCACTTGCCAGGGATGATTTTTTTCTCCCTGTCCCACCTGCCTTCAAGGCCTGACACTTGGTTTCCTGAGAAGTGGGGAACTCCATAAACCCAGCGGCCTGTGGAGCACACATAGCAAGGGCGGAGTTCTTTATGACCGATTCACTCTTAACTCTGTCAAGCACTTAAACTCCAGTTTTATTAGACCTACAGTCCTCAAGTTCTTCAGGACCCTCCATTATCTCCTAGTCCCCATTTTTATGTAAGCGTCACCTGGCAATGAGGTAACCTTTGACACAGTATCCACTGACTCCTTCCTAGGATGCCAAAGCTGACTCTGACTGAGGAGACCATGGCTTGCACCCCAATAGAAAGACCTGCTTCTAGTGAAGACCTCCCTGGGAGGTCTGAATCGATGGCCATAGGTAAGAGGTAACAGCCTGTCTGGCTGTTTTGTGGTTGTTGGTTTTTCCCCCCAATCATTTTTCCTAAGCAATAAATGTTGCTTTAATTGCATATAGAGTGGAAGAGGTGGCCATTACAAGGGCCTCATTACCCACAAGACTTTCTCAGTGACGGGGAACCTATTATCACAGGAATTAGAGATGGTAAGTCTTCTCACAAAGAAAAGGGCAAAACTTCCCACATACACTCGAGGCAATGTCTGGTAGCCTTTGTGCTATGTCCCTTAGTGAGCAACGGCAGAAACCGCCTTTAATCTCAGGAGAGGACTCTGGGTTCCTGGCTCATAGTGGACCCCTCCATCCCCATTCTTGCTTCTATACAGGTGCTTTGACACCCATATGGATAGATCAACTAATATTCTGGCTTCCAAGCCATCATCTCCTTACATACAACTACCCTACTGTGTGACTAAAACCCCCCAGACACCTGGAACACCATCAGACATACAGCATCCACCAAGGATATTAATTTAGCTTGGTGCCCCATTCTTGGGCTTAAGACTCCTAGTCACAGACCCCACACACACCAGTCCTTAATCTACCTCATCTACTAATCTTTCTCCACATCTGTGTAGGTTCCATTGTCTAGTCTCTTCTGTCAGTCTTTGTAAGCACTGTTTTAAGTCAGGCACCAGAACACAGTAGCTAAGATCTAGATTCATGCTCACTCCCCTTGATCCTGTGTTCTTATTCTAAACCCAAATGTCAAAAACCCAATCCTTGGAGTAAACCAATACTCATTTTCTTGGTTGCTGTACCCAGATTGCCATTCATACTGTTAGGTCTCCAGCCCTTCCCTGCCCTAATCATGAGCTCTATGCACTATTAGGATCTTCCACTGCTTGATGTCTCCTAAGTCCTGTCTGCACAGTGCATTCTCCCAGGCTTTCCAGCAGTCCAGGCCTCTCATCTCCTCAGGGACTGGAATGCATGGATCAGTGGTCAACTTTTCCCTCTCCACTGTAATATATTACACTCTTCCCCGAGAAAATGCTCTTTTGGGTCTAACCACTCACATTTCTCAAAAGGAGAGTCAGGCCTCTTTTTGAAACAGTGTCTTCTGAGACTACAATCCCCATGTTTCTACCCCACAGAAAGCCTACCTACTCTAGAGGAGAGAAATGCCTGACCTACTCCAGAGAGATGTGCTAATTCTCATTCTCAGGAATCCAATCACCGAGATGGAAACTTTGCCAATTGTTTTTAGGATGTGACAATCTACCCCCAAAAAGGCAATAAACTCAGAAATGGCAAATAGATTTAATATAGAGTGTCGACTTCAAATGATAGATAGTGGCTGCCTAGAGTGCTGCGTTGAGTAGATTTCTGAGAGCGCACCCTGGCTTGAGAAGAAGATGCTGCGATTATTAGCAATATCTGCAAACACAAGTAAAGGAAAATCAGTCAGTATCTAGCAAACAGGACACAGTCACAGAAGAGTCTTTCCACATGCTTCATGCTTATCTCCAACCCAGGACTCGGCTCCCCATCCCACCCCCATAAGCCCCAGCTACCTCACTGCCGCCAAGACAGATACCTGCATCTCACTTGTAGGAGAAACCACAGGCACCAGAGCTGCTGCTGGTACTGGCCCCAGCTCCACTAAGGCCAGCAAAGAGCCCAAATGTGAGAGTGGCAGTCAGGTTGGAGCTGGTACTGAAGCCACCACTGGCACCAGCACTGGCACTGGCACTGCCACCAGTACCAACACTGGCACCGGTACTGGCACCGGCACTGGCACCGGCACTGGCACCGGCACTGGCACTGGCACCACCACTTTCTTGGGCTTTGGCTTTAGTTTCAGCTCCTGCCTGGATCCGGGCCTTTGCCCAGGGCCCAATATCAGCTTCGTCCCAGTTGCAGGGCCCCGCGGCATTCTCAGAGCCGAGGCCAATGCCCATCTGGGCTCTAATCTCAGCCCTCGCCTTGGCTTCAGCAGCAGCCTCAGCTGCAGCCTTCAAATCTGCTTCCATCGCCTCTCGGTACTGAGCTGCCCATTCCTTGGGATCCTTCTTTTGCACCTGAAATGGAAATAATAACCTTCAGAAAGTTCACAATCAGAGAATTTAAAATCCACTGTTTGCAAGGCAGCATACTCTACACTGTATGTCATGTAACAATACAGTTAGTACTATAAGTAATCCTGCGCTGACCAGTCCATCCCTTCATTGACACTTAACTGGCTCTATGATTTGGCAACATTACCTGCCAACTACTCTGAGGCTGTTTTCCTATGTGCAATACAACAAAGCCATACCAGTTGTAAGGATTAAATGATCTAGATACAGTGTTTGTCACAGTGTTTGATATCTCAGAAGCTTTAAAATGTCCAGATATGAAGATCTGGACACTCTGAACATAGAATGCCCCATCCCAGGGCACTTCGTAACCTTCATATTCCAAGTACAAATGGCTCTCCAATTACCTTACAAGCAAACTTGAGAACTTTCATCTTGCTGGTTTCATAGTAAGAGCGCAGGCCCCAGAAGAACTCATACTCAGGAGGATTGCTATTGGGTACTCTAGCATAGTCCAAGTACCTATGAAAGAGAGATTCAAAGTCTATTTCTAGAGTCAAATGTGAACCACTCATGAATGGACTAGATAGGCTGTAGATGCACACATTCTCAAATAAATACTTCAGTCCTTCCCCAGTATTGAACCTTATCGTATTGGTTATGCCCTGAAACCACATGGAAGAACTGGAGAGAAACATGTAGGGCACTTGCTCAGAGGAGGACAAAGTGTTGTACTCCTTGTTACAATGGGCCCAGATTCCTGTTGGGTGTGTTGTAAACAGAGAAGCCATTCTTCAGGGTCCCTGCTCTGAGGACACCACACTGCAAGGATTTAGAAGGAGGACTAGCCAAGCTCTGGAAAGATCCACTATTTAAAAAAAAAAAAAGACTGGCCAGGCATGGTGACACATGCCTTTAATTCCAGCTCTCGGGAGGGTGAAGCAGGATGATCAGGAGTTAATGATCATCCTTAGCTACATAAGATTGAGGCCAGTCTGCTGGTGTACGTGAGGAGAGAGAGAGAGAGAGAGAGAGAGAGAGAGAGAGAGAGAGAGAGAGAGAGAGAGAGAGAGAGAGAGAGAGAGAGCTGTTCTTGATTGACTATTCCTTTCTTTATGGACTCCCCCTTTTGTGTCTTTGTGTGTGTGTGTGTGCTCATGCTCCTAAACACACTTGTTTCTCTATGTGAGAGCATGCAAATTCTTCTCGGACACCCAATGATACAAGGTAGACTCCTAATTACAAAGTTAACAGGTTAGGACTCCAAACCCAAACGAGTCTTTTTTAATCACCTGTGGGCCAGGCTCAAGCATCCCCTCTTAGGGATCATATCCCTCACCCATGAATGATACACAATTATGTAAATGAAATCAAATGCACAAGTCTAGAGTACCCAGCACTGTCCTGGGTTGCCTACGGGTACCACTTGATGCCATTTTAATGGAAATTAATTTTTACAAAGCACTACTTAGCAGAGTAAAAAAAGCCATGCTCTAAACACAACTTTTATTCTGAGCAAATGGCATTAATTCGTTAAGACTGTCTCCCTCGCAGAGCTGTTCTGAAGCCACATATGAAACAGAAATCTGGGACTGCTCTCAGAAATAACCTGCCAATAGCATACACACATGCACACATTCAGACCACACATGCAGAGAGACCTGCACAGAACATATCCATTATCAAAAGAGACAAAATACATGGAACACACCAGCAACAGACACAGGCACTTACTTCTGCTTCACAAACTCATCAGTAATGAGCTTCTTCACATCCCCAAAGAGTGAGTGATGTATCCTGAGAACACAGAAAGCTGAATAAACAAATAAATATAATCAAATCTGTCACACCTCCCAGATGCTGGCAGAGGCATTTCCACAAGAGAAAATAGATGTAGAGTACAGAGAAAGCTCTGTGGAAGCTCAAGAGACGGTGAGAAGGTGAGCAGAGATGAGAGACATTTCCCCATCCACACAGGTCAGACCCCTGGACCCTCTACCCAGCTTAGTATTCCCCACCCCCACCCCACGCTCCCCAGACCACCAGGTTGATGCAATCCTGGGACCGTCCTCGCTTGCCAAAAGACAACACGGACAGCAAGCGCTGAGAGAGCCCAATCATACCCAGGACGCAGCCCCAACTTGCGCAGCACCTCCCAGATGACAGCTGTAAGAGGAGGCAAGGAGAGAAAATGAGCATCTGGAATTCAGACAACAGTCACCTATTCAACTGCATGCCCAGCCACTCACCCTCACTGGACCGATTTCCATTCATGAAAATGATGCTAAGAAGCACCATGAGGAGGCCGAGCTTAGGTGAGTCCTTGGTCCTAAGAGGATAACAGGACAAAGAGAAAGTTTATGAAGTCATCATCTATCCAACACAGTTCATTAGGCCAGCCTCTCCTAGATGCCTCAGATACAGAGAATTCAGCCTACTCTGTGGTCCCAGCTATCTATGACCCAAGGCAAGGTGCTTTCACTCTTGAGTCGAGGTCTCCAGTAAAATGGGAAGCCACATACTGTCCCTAACCTGGGTTAGCAGGACATGGACGATTCCCTGTCAGCCACACAGGCGCTCAGTTAATGGGAGTCTTTTCTTTCTCTCCTAAAGCCCCCGGCCCCAAGAAGTTCTAGATGGAACCCCAGTGACACCCCTGCTCTCAAGCATCATGATCCACACCAGAAGTCCCTTTGAGAGCCACCCTTCCACAGCCAGGCCAGGCCCCCAGAAGAGACAAGTAACAACAGGCTGATTTCCTGGGAGCCTGTTAGAAAGCAAACGTGGCAGCAGGAATGGCCACTCCAGGCTCTGAAACCCTTCTGTCACAATCTGGTACCACTGTTGCTCACAGGGATCCAGTCATGTGTGGGAGCTGGGACATGGGCATTTAGACCATCTTTCCTGAGCTTCTCAGAGGAAGCAGAAGCCCCTGCCCACCCTAGCGCTTTCCCAGCTTACGTTCCCAGTATGCCTGCATCAGTGGGCTCTAGGGTACTGAGAAGAATATACAAGTGGTCACTCTTGTCGATTTCCTTCAGTTGAATTCCAAATACCTGTGGATGAGAATAGCTTATAAATTCATAAAACGCAGCTTCCCAGGCATCCCGTGGCTCCTTATAGCAGCTAAAGATTTTTTTTTGTGTGAGAGAAATTAATATAATATTGTATATAAAGCACATCATTAAGTACGTATTATACATGTAACAAACATAGGGTAGTCATCCATAGCATCTTTGTGATCAGTGGAAATTTAGGGAGACAGAGAGGTGTGCATCTGCATTACATGAGACGGTGTATCCAGCAACAGACAGAAGCCGGGACTGAGCTACATAGCTTTAGTACTAGCTGTGTTTCCACCGCTGACTTGCTGAGTGACCAGTGGCTGCCCCTCCCTAGGCCACTGTGTGCTCATCAGCACAGTAATGGGAATGTATTAGGTCTCTGTGCTTCCCCCCAGGAGGGCGATCATATACCTTTCTTCTGTTTAAGGTTTCCCCAGTGCACCCATCCCCCAGGGCTGCCCCTTCACCTTCTCCAAGGAGTAGCCTGCTCGTTCAATGATTTCAGGGTATACATCAGTATATTCTTTTATGATGTCCTTCAGCATATCTGCAAAAGGAGAGTGTTGTAAACATCTGTGCTGTAGAGATACCAGGGGACGCTCGTGCCCAACCTACAGACCCTTTCTTGTCCATGCCATGGGTGGTGTAGTCAGGTTTGGGGCTTATCAATGCCGGTACTGGGAGAACTTTGGGAGAAGAGACAGGGACAGGAGAGGGATGGATGTCCCCAGCGCAGTGGAGAGAAGGCACAGCTCAAGAGAGGGAAAGTGTTTGTAGGACCGTACCTGAGCGCCTGATGGGAATCTTTGTCTGATCTTTAGCCAACAGGTACTTCACCAAGTCATTTGCCTAGGGGAGAAGGAAATGGTGAAAGACTAAAAAAATCTGCAGAAAACTTCGAAGCACAACAGAGAAGAAGTCGGACAAGGCAATGGGAAAGGTGGGATGCAGAGGATGGAGTTCATACCCTTCCTTGTAAAAGGGCCACATCTCTAGGTGGGGGTGCCTCAGGTTCTTGGGATGACTGCAGCTTGGCAGCTCTTCTTCGGGCCTTGCCTCTCCGAGCTCTAGGTGACCTCAGAGAAAGCAAAGCTCTCCGAGCCCAAGCAGCCAACCGAGTCCTTGATGCCCTGCGGGCCCAAAAGGCTATGGGTCCCCTTGAAGCTCTGCGGGCCATGGAGGCCATTAGGGCCTTTGAGACCCTCCGACCGCCTGTGGTTTCCGAAGCCTGACTCTGATCACTGTTGCCATCCTCTTCCCCGTCCAGGTGTTTCACCTGCATCAACAGAGGAGGGTGAACACCAGCAAGTGAAGCAGGTAGTTCTTTCTCCTAACTCAGGCTCTTCTGGGATGTATCCCCTAAGCCTGCCCTTGTAGTAATAGTCTGCCTCACTGGACACTAGCCATCCTGAGTCATGGGCTTATCACTGAGTACCAGTTGGGAATTTCCTCCTTGAGTGGATCAGGAACAACTCAAAAATAAGGCGCGAGGCTTTTCTTCTTCCTATGTCCACCACTGACTCTGCTTATACCACCCTGGACTAGTCCTGTCTCTGGACATCAGTTTCTTTCTCTAGAGAATGAAACCATAGGAGGTACGTTCAGATATGAGACTACACATGTGCATATGCCCAACTCAAGGCCTAAAGTGGACAGCTACTGTGTAAATAGAAACTGATCACAGTCAGATTGCAGCTATGTGTATTCCCATCTCAGCTCCCCACCAGCCTCTGAGCTCTGTGGACATAAGAACTACAATACATTCCCCTTAGTGTTCCCTGTGTCTTTCATGAGGAGCGGAATCCTTTTAATGCTTGCAGAACAAATGAACCAAATGGACACGATGACTGTGGAGAAGCAAGGGCGGTTAAGGCAGAGGCCTTACCTTTTGGGTATTCTTGGCTTTGACCTTGGGCCGAGTATCCTGATTCTCCTGGACCTTGGCAGCTGCACCCTCAGGCTCTGGTTCATCTGCTCCAGACTGAGAGGCAGCAGCCTCAGTCTCAGGGGCCTTTGTATTGACCTTCGGATCAGGAACAGAGCTGACCTTTTTGGTCTGGGCTGCAGGCACTGTCACGGCCTGCAGGTCAGCCTTCTGCGTTTTGGTGTCAACTGCTGGGCTCTTGGTTTCAGCTGCTAGAACCTGGGTGTCAGTCGGCTGTGTGGTAGGTGAGGCCTTGGTGTCAGCTGCCTCAGGATCCTCTGGAGCCTTTGAGACCTCTGGAGCCTTCGGGTTTCCAGAGGCTTTGGGGACCTTTGCAGCCTCTGAGACCTCTGGTGCCTTTTCAGCCTTTGGTGTCTCTGAGACCTCCAACTTCTGGGTCACGGTCAACAGGTCCTGCATGGTGGAACCGCTGTCCTTTTCTGAAGCTTTGCCCTGCAAGGGGAAACAGGGAACTTCACTGACCTTCTCCCCAGCCTCAACTATGCAGATGATCCCCCAAAATTCCGAGGCAACACTTCTCTGACCTGTAAAGACTCCTACCTGCAGTGTGCTCTGACCATCTCATCCTAAAAAGGCCTCCCATTCCCTTTAGTAAAAAGTAATGACAGAACAAGGGCCCGCCCACCCTCTCTCCCTTCCTCCTGGCCTCCTGGCCTCCCATCCACTGGGGAGAGGGGATGCACCCTGGCAAAGAAGTGGGTGGAGAATGACAAGGATGGAAGCTCCAAGGATTTGGAATAGCAGAATGGGCTGGAAAGGCAAAGCATAAAGAGAGAGGGGCCCCAAATCGGTCTTACCTGAAAGCTAGCTGGACCTGCACCACTCTCGCTTGTTTCAGACATGTCTCAAGTTCAAAGCTGAGTCTGAAGAGAAGGCCTGGGTCAAGTGGAGAGCCTGCTGAACGTCCGTATCCCTCGTTCTGCCTAGAAGCTGATCCTCACCTTCTCCAGGGCCCCAATGCCCAGCCCCTCCCCGAGCCCCAACCAGTAGGTTCTCAGATACAGAAATTCTGTCTCTAGGTCTCAGTTCTCTGCAGCCGCACCCTCCCCTCCTCCAGGAAGATGTGCCAGCGCGGCAGCTCTGAGGACCCCGCCCCCTTTTCCCAGCGCACCCCCCCCAGCCGCAGGCCTGGAATGCGCATGCGCGTCTGCTGCAGCGCCCTTTCAACCCCGCCTGCTTTCCCAGTACAAACCCGTTCTTTGAAGTTCACCGTGCACATGCGCATTCAGCAGCTGGCCCTGTCTCCGTGCTAGCCCTTCTCAACACGCCCCTTTCTCGCTATACATAAAGCGCATGCGCAGTGGCCACGGTCTCAGTCCAGCACCCAGCCCCTTCACACGCCCCTTTCTAAGTCCGCAATGCTGTTCGGCCCCGCCCCCTCCTCAACTAGCCTTCCTTCCAAATTGTCGCAGTGTCTGGTGGTCCTAGCCCCTCCCCTACTCACATCCACCCTATCAATTTCACAGAGCCTCCAGGTCCCGCCCTTTATCCTAACACGCCCCCCTCCAAACGGTAAAACCCAAATTGGGTTTGGCTCCTTCCCTGTAACACCCCCTCCTCAACTCAGGACTAAACTATTGATTCCATCTTGGGCCCAGCTAAACGGGGTCCAGTCCCCTCCCTTCCTAACTGGATGGATTCGGTAAGATTTGGCTCTTGAGGCAGGTTTTCTCCAGATCCCAGAGGGTGGGGCCGACCCCTAGCAGGCTCTCATCCAAAGCTGGGGCCCATGGCTCACCTCGTCCTCCTACAATTCCCGAGTGTGTCCACTCTCTCCAAGCCCCTCCGAAACTCAGATACTGCCCTCCCCACTAAAGGCCGGAAGTGGTCCCGCCCCTTTCCGCCTCCCTAGGGGGCCTCCGTTCCAGCCCGTCTGCCCTTCCCCCCCTCATCACTCCTTATCCTCCCCCCCACCTCCTTATTCCCTCTGCCTGACTCCGGACTCCCTATTTCCCATCGCATTTCCTATTTACTCTACAAAATCTCTTCCCATTCCTTACATCCTCCTCTGTATTACCTATGCACACACACCCCAATGTTCCTTAACCCTTCTCTGCAAACCCCTATTCTCCTCTCTGGATCTCGTCTTCCCCTTCACATTCCCCCGTATTCCTCGTTCTCCTCCCAACATGCACAGTTTCCCCCTTTTCTCTCCTCCACCTCCACCAGTCTCTGCTGTCCAGTCCATATACAGCCTACTACTTTCTTGGTCGTTCTCTTTCCCACACCACATTAAATGCAGCACCTCTTCTCCAGCTACAGTAGTGAAATAAGAATTGTCCACCTGCCCAGCTGTAGATTTCAGGAGGTTAGAACCAGTGTCTGGTCGCCAGGAAAGCCCAATCTTGTCCTCTCACCTTGTCCTCTAGCGAGTCTGGGATGCGTGTGCCTGCTCTCAGTCCCTCTTGAAGTCTCAGCCTCCTGGACTAGTGCTGCAGACAGCCCAGCCCAGCCCAGCCCAGCCCCTTTCCGCAGCCCCCTACCCCCGCCCCCCTTCCTCGGGGGTGGGGCAATGGGGCCCTGCTCAATGCTGTCTGACGCCAAAGCCCATGTTTATGCCACTGTACCAGGCTCGGTCTGAAGCCCTTCCAAGCCAAACTGCCCCACGAAAACGATTCATTCATTGAATTTATTTATTTTATATCGTTATTTTTTCTTACTACAAAGGTAATGTGTTGTGTGAAAATCAGAAAAATGCAGAAATATGTAACAGATAATGAAAGGCTACCTTTAATCTCATTCCCCAGAAATAGTCATGATTAGCATTTTGATAGACATTTTTTTCTATTCATAGTCTGATTATTTGTGCTTTCTCTCCACACAGGCTACATACTATACCTACTGTTCTTATAACTGCTTTTTTCAGTTATATATTCAAACTTCTCTTCCTTAGTGCGTATTTTTCTTAGTAGCGCATGTTTTCATGTATAAATGTCCTATAATTTATTTGCTTGGTTCAGCTTGCATGTACTTTTGGATTGTTTCCCCCTTTTCCGCACTATTACAAACAATGCTACAAGGAACATCCTGGTGTCTATATTGGACTCTTTCGTTGCTTTATAATGTTTTGCTGACTCAAATCGTTAAAAAAAAAAGACTTCCATTTTCAGCATAAGTTAATTGTACAAAGTAATGAGTTTTATTATGGCATTTACATACTCGCCCTCATTAAGGTTTCTCACTAATTTGAGAGTGCACTACTGTTACCTAATAAATTCACATAAAGAATTGGGTCTCTTCAAGAGAACAAGATAAAATATAAAAACAAAGAGAAGTAGACAAAACCATTATTAGCAATAGAGCATATGAATGCAGACCCAGAAAAGTTTATTAGAAACTATAATGTACTACATGAGAGTTATAGATATAAAATTCAAGATCTTTCTTATTCACAAATGGTCGCTAGTCTGCTTCATGAGGTCACCTTTCCCTTTACTAAAGAAAGGAAGTATGACGAATCCCTGTGCTCTACAGACATTTGACTCACATACATTTCACACATCATCAAGGCAGGTTTCCGTACTCCTGTTTCACCTTGTGCAAACGGTTACTTCCCCAAAGTTTGTAATGTCACACTGCCACTTTCTTACCTCCTAGGCTGTCTCTGCTGTTCACGTTAGACTAGTCTCTCACTTTTCTTCCGATTTTGGCACCCCAAATTCCTCTCCCTTCCAAGTTATGACAAATCTTCAATATCAAGATAATAAAGTACCCAAACCTGAGTGTACTGAAGGTCTGTTAAAGAGCCCTACAGCAGAAGACAGCATGGATGTTGTAGGTGTGTGTTTTAGTGAGAAGGTCTTAGGTGTTGTGTGGAGATTAAGTGTCTTCTTGGAAATAGAGAGCATAGCTATGACCTTGGTGGCCGTCCAAGTGAGCAGTGCTTGTGGTTTGTCCTAGAGTGTTAGCAGGAGAGATAGTAAGGAGATGGGTGGGGGTGGGGTGGGGTGCACATTAGGACTTGAGTAATTGGATTTTGTAGGGATGGATTGGAAGGAGGAACATATTCAAATCTTGGATCTTTATTTGATAGAGAGTGTGGATGGTGACCCTTTCACTGAGACACGGAAGAATGGATTTAAGAGGAAATGAATGTTGATTTTGAGGCACCTGTGGTACATCCAAGTGGAAATGCTGTATTGGCAATTGAATAAGCACATCGGAAACTCAAGAAAAAGGCCTAAGTAAGGGCTGTCAGTCTAGAAACTGTCATTATATAAATGAGTCTTTAATTCACAGGAAAGTACACCCAGGAGGAAGTAATTCATCAGGTTGGAAGATATTGGACCTAGAAATGAGCCCTAGAGACCAGAAACATGTATGGATGGTATGGATGAAATAAAAGAAAAGAAGCTGTAAGGAGAGACCAAAGACAAGACAGGATTTGAAAAGAATTTTTAAGTAGTTCTCAACCTGTGGGTCGAGAGGGTTGAACGATCCTTTCACAGGGATTGCATATCAGATGTCCTGCATATCAGATATTTATATTATGATTCATAACAGTAGCAAAATTAGTTATGAAGTAGCAATGAAAATAATTTTATGGTTGGGAGAGTCACAACATGAGGAACTGTATTAAAGGGTCGCAGCATTAGGAAGGTTGAGAACCAGTTCTACAAGATAGAGAGAGGTTGGGCTGGGGATCCAGTTTAAGTGTTAGAGCACACATCTAGCATGTATGATCCCTGGGTTTGAGCTCTTGTCACTGGTTTAAAAAATGCACATAGTGCTGATTTTTTTATAGCTGGGCATACAATGATAATTCCAGCATTTAGGGGCCAAAGACAGCAGGATTAACTAACCTGGGATACATAGGGGAGGAGAGCAGAGGGGGAGAAGAAAGAGAAGGAGGGGGAGGAATAAATGCATTTATGATGTTAAATATTGCTGAAGTCTAGAAAAGCCAAGCACAGAAAAAAGTTTGGGCATGTTTGCAGGTAAATCTCTGGTGAGCTTGGAAGGAATATCTTCAGTGCAGACATTTGCAGAGTCCATTGCTAATTACTTAACCTGATATCCACTCTCTTCGTTTTCTCTAGTCATAGAACATCTCATTTTTAGGATACATAAGCTCTGCCCTGGATAAAGGCCGAGAAGACTACAGTTATCCTTTAGGACACCATCACAGTAAATGAAAAGAACCTGATTCCTGACAACTTGGTGGAATGGACTGCCTACCTCTGGCTTTCTTTTAATGAGATGAATAAGTGTATGTCTCGGTTAGCCGTTGTTATTTCGGAGTCTCTGCCATGCAGCAGTTTCCTGGTGGTTCTCAATATCATACGTTGTATTCGTGACAGTGAGTAGATTCTCAAGAAACACCCGAGTTGGCCATCTATCCCTATTTGCCAGCCTTTTTTTTTTTTTTTTTTTTTTTTTTTTTTTTGCTGTTTTTTTTCTTTTGAAAAGTATATGTAGTTGCCTATATTCCGGTCAAACAGAGCACTTCACTATCAGCTGGCACTTCCTCGTGCCTGGAAACCTCTTCTCCTGCAACTGCTTCCCTTGTTCTCTGTCTACCCTCTCTTACAGTTTCCAACATTTAGAGTCCCACATTGTTTCACTCGTGGTCTCAGGAGGAACAGAATTAGAACCTTGAATATTATCGAATTCAGTGAAGGAAGCTAAATCTCAGTCCAAGTTCATCAGAAAGGTAATGCCCTTCCGCACTTTTACTGCCTTCCTAGCACAATGTCATAAATATCCTTATCTTAGGACCTGGAGACCAGAGAAGGGGCGGCAACCTTATGTGAAAAGAAAAGAAAAAAACAATTAGCTCAGAGTCTTTGCCCTTTGACTAGAGAAATTTCCTTCCATTTTCTTCTTATGTACTGTAGAATCTTTTGATCATCATTAATCTACAAAATCTGAAGAGCCTCAGTCACTATGCCCAAGGCCTGTTTCCGATAACCATAAACCATCAGAAAAATACCTGAGATTATGGTCACCAGGCACATGTGCTTGCCTAGAACATGATGACCTGAGTTTGGTCCCAGGGTCCCACGTGGTGGAGAGAATGGACTCCAGAAAGTTGTCTTCTGACTTCTACATATGCACCATGTTGCCTGCGTGCGCGCGCGCGCACACACACACACACACACACACACATACACACACACACCACTCACATACATACACACATACCACAACACACACATACACACTCACTCTCACACACACCACAACACACACACACACACACACACACACACACACACACACACACACACACACACACACAATGTGTAATAAAAGTGTTTTAAAAGAAAAGAGATTACATAGGTCCCACATACCAACTTGGGGGAAACATGAAAAGCTGAGTTTCTGTTAGACATTGCAATTAAGGAAATATAGAAGCCTGACTAAATGTTGCTTAGCGTAGAAGAGCTGGATGAAACTGTCTTACGTAGGAACACTGAGATTCGAGCCCCTGAAGCTGAAAGACAGAGTGCAGGAGACCCTACCACCCACCAATCCTGCCTAGCAAACTTCTCTTCCCCTGGACTACAGAGAACCAATGCTGAGGATTTTGAAAAAGTCAGAGACAATGATGGAAAAGAGTGGCAAACATTCCTTCCAGGGCTACTTGTCATTCCTTTTGACACCTGAGTTGCACAGCACAGCAAATTATGAATTGGCGATCAGACTTTCTCATTCTTCAAACCCCACAGCCTTTCTCAGTACCGGGAAAAGCCCTGTGCGCCATGCTTGGTGGGCCTCTTCTACCCTTATTGGCAGCTTCCTCCTTTCCACTTCAACGTCTCTCCCTCTCCCTCTCCCTCTCTCTCTTCCCCACCTCCTGATAAGGTTTCACTATGTAGCTCTGGCTTTCCTGGAACTCACTAAGTAGACCAGGCTGGTCTTGAACTCACAGACACCTCTGCCTGTATCTACTGGAGTGCTGGGATTAAAGGTGGCACCACACCGGCTGTTTTCTCATTTGATCTACTGGTAGAACCCTGTTGTAAGGCAATTTAACTCACTCTGTGTTGCTCCAGACTCTGAGGGCTATCTGTTCAAAAGGGGAGACAGAAAGAGAGGGACAGGGAGGGAGAGAGACTACCTTTTGTTAAAGAAAAGGCAGGTTCCCCATATATATGAAATCCTGATACCTACTTCTGGACTAATATGACTTCTCCCACTTTCTTTGTACAAAGAAGCCTCCTGAAAACAAACCTGTGAGAAAGAATTGGGCCACTGAAAAGAAAATGGGGACCAACTGTCTACCAGGCACCTTTGTGCTGAAAGCTTGAGACTCCGTGGACTGATTTGAATTGGTGGAATCTTTCAGAGATGGGGCCAGGGAAGAGCGACGAGGTCCCTGGGCTAATCTTTGTTGAGAGAGATTGATGTCATTCTCTTGGGACTCAGGTGAGTTTCTATAGTTGTGAATTGTTAGTAAAAGACTCACACCTCACCATTGGACCTCTCCTTGTTTGTGCCTCCACCATGATGCTATTAGTCTTGCTGAAATTCAGGCAAGGCTGCAGGAGATGGGACCAACTAATCTTGGACTTTGAACATGCAGCCTCAGGCACTTTGCTATAGCAATAGAAAACAAAATAAAACACCAGCACCCTTCCTAAGTATGTTAAGGACGTGACAGTATGATTTTCATCTGTGGAGGCAAGTCTAACTGGATATTCCCATTTAGAAAGGGTCAAGACATATACATTTTGAGCCAGGTTTGCTGGTGGAAACCAGTTATGACCATGCTTGGGAGGCAGAGGCAGGATGATTGCCACACATTCCAGGTCAGCCTGGTTTACATAGTGAGTTCCAGGCCAGCCAAGACCTACAGTGTAAGACCCTGATTCATGGGAGAAAGCATTTTATTTTGTTTGTGAGGTCAGCATAATGTTTTTAATATTTTTTATTAAATTCTGAAGTGTACGTGATAACAAACAACTCAAACAAAAGAATATTATAAAAATGGTCCCATGCGCCCGGCGGTGGTGGCGCACGCCTTTAATCCCAGCACTCGGGAGGCAGAGCCAGGCGGATCTCTGTGAGTTCGAGGCCAGCCTGGGGTACAGAGTGAGTTCCAGGAAAGGCGCAAAGCTACACAGAGAAACCCAGTCTCGGGGGGGGGGGGGGGGGGGGAGAAAAAAATGGTCCCATGCCTCAAACCTCCACATCTCCATCCTATACTTCTGAAGCCACCTTTTGAAATGTTTTTCAGTTTTCATGCAAGTAGATATTGCATTGCTACCCATATTTCCCCCTTCCCCTTTTCTTTTTCTTTTTTGGTTTTTCGAGACAGGGTTTCTCTGTGTAGCTTTGCGCCTTTCCTGGAACTCGCTTTGGAGACCAGGCTGGCCTCGAACTCACAGAGATCCGCCTGCCTCTGCCTCCCGAGTGCTGGGATTAAAGGCGTGCGCGGACGACCCGGCTTCCCCCTTTTCTCATCCCTCTTCCCCTTAGCTCTCTTCGTTCTCCCAGGCACTCTGACTTATGCTTTCGTCGACATGACTGTATGTATCTATATATAGTCTAAGAACCACAAAGAAGAGAAAACATGTATGTCTTTCTGAGACAAGCTTAAATTGACTAATAAAATGATCATCTCCAGTTGGATCTGTTTTCCTAGAAACAAAGTAACTTTGTTCTGGAAGCCACTTTTCCATCCACCATTGGGTCTCTACAGCTCTTGATAATGCTACTTCTTAGTTCATAAAATTGAGACAATATCCCATTAAATAACTCCCCAAGATGGCAGTGAAGATGCTCTTCATGGCCAGAGCATCCCTGCTTTTCTCTCTGCTCCCCTGCAAAGGCTAGCATCAATACTTTTTTGTTATTGCTTAATTTGTAGCCTGAAAAGATATGTAGGCCTCTATTTAATATTTTGTCAATTCTTTTACAAGGATTTCAACTGCTTGCGTTTTATTTTAAATTTTTTTTATTTTTTGAGATTATTATTACATCCTTCCCCCTTTCCTCCCTCCAATCCCTCACATGTACCCCTCCCTCATTTTCCTATCAAATGCATTGCCTCTTTTTAAAAATTGGGATTACAGTTTTTCTATAAATGTATATGTGTGTTTCATATATATCCCTAAATATATAACTATAACCTGCTGAGTCGTATTTCTGTGTTTTCAGAGATGACCATTGGTATGGAATAATCAGTGTGTTCTTCCCTGGTCAGGACTATTTCCCCCACTCTCAGCATTCCTTAATTGCCTGTACTTCTTTGACTAGGGTTAAAGTCTCATGACCTTTCCACCTTCTGTGTTAGTATGCCTATTGGGATCTTCCTTGTTCAGATCATGTTTAGGCAGCCATGTTGTTGAGAGACTTTATGGGTCTAGCTTCTCTGACATTTCTAGGAGACAAAATCTCACAGGGAACTTCCTGTTTCTCTGGTTCCTACAATCTTTCTGTTCCCTCTTCTGCAATGAGCCTTGAGCCTTAGGTGGAGCAGATGAGTTGTAGGTGTGTCAGTTGGGACTGCACATCTCTGCAGTTGGATTGGTGTGATTTTCTGTAATGTTCTTTCTCTCTGTTGCAAGGTTTCCTTGAGGAGGGTGAGAACTATGCTCATCTGCAAGTACAAGTACAAGAACGTACAATGGCAGCATCAAAGGGAGGGAGGCCACCAGTAGTACTTACTGCACAGCCATGATGGCCATGGACACAACAACAGCTGCCATGGCACTGTAACCATGGGGGTGCAATAGGAGCTGAATGCTGTTGGCAGTAACCAACATCTCTCTGGGGAAATCATGCCTGGTACTGGAAACCTAGCCAACTACCAGGGCCTAGTGAAGTCATGGATCTTGGAGGAGAACCTACAACTACCACTTTACAAAGCCAGCATTATTCCTAACTGCCTGCTTTGAAAAACAAAGATATTAGCCGCACATTGCCCGTCAATGTCCTACATTATCTCTGTGATCTTTCCTTTGACGTTATACATATTATTGACATTTATGTTCTGTTCTGCAGTATTAACGAGATCTTCCTCTCTTTGTCTTTCCAGGGTAGCTCTTAAACCTAAAAACCAATAAACAGTATTTACATTGTCTTGACTATGTAAATATTTTTTCCAAAATCCAGTTAAGTAGTGAGCCAAGAATACACTTCCTCCTTTGCAAGTCCAATGTCATAAACCTTGAGCCTCTTAAAGGACATTTTTTCTAGCATCAAGATCTGTCTTATACTCCATTAGTTGTTATTTTGTTTTATATTTGAACCACTACTTTCTTGCATATATGTAGACTTTGTAACAGGTTTTATTCTTCCATAAATGATATGCCTTTATTATGTCAACCCATTGAACAAATACTTATTGAGTGTCTGCTAGGTACTGGATGCTGTTCTGGGAGCTGAAGACATAACAGTGGAGAAGATGGAGAGCAATGCCTGTTCCTCGTGGAGCTGATTCTAGTAAGGGGAAGAGAGGAAACAATCGGCTCAAGAAATAAGATCTGTAACAACTTAATAAAGTGCTATGGAGAAAACAAAATCCAGGGGTAATGGTGCACTCCTTAATCCCAGCGTTCAGAAGCCTAGGGAAGTTGAGACCAGTCTGAGTTACATAGCGAAGCTCTGTCACATAGAAACAAGGTGCAAGGGGACAGAGAGGAACTAAAAAAAAAAACAGGGTGAAAGAGAGAGAGAATAGCAGTGAAGAAAGGAGTTTATTTCAGTTTTAAATAGGTTGCTCAAGAAGTAACTCAATGAAATGGCAGGATGTGAACAAATGCTTGCATGAGGTGAGAGAGCTAAGTGGACATCTGGGAAAAGGTTTTCCAAGCGGAAAGGATGGTGCCAAAACCTACCCATGGCGTCTTTTCCCATCCTTGGCATTTGGGAAGAACATGAAGAACTCCGGGGTTGCTAGAGTAGTGGAAGAAGAAGAGAGAGAAGTAATGGGCTGTGTGATGAGAATAGTATTGAGGGCTTGCCACACTAGCTCGTCTCACATGAGGCTCTGTAAGTGAGCCTTGGTGGTTTCCACCGTTTTCACAGAGAGAAGAAAGAATGTGGATTGGGTTTTAAAGGGACCTGGAAACATGCTGATGGAGGACAGAAGGAAGGATGATAACGTGGACGAGAACTAGTGTGCAAGCTGTTGCAGTGACTGAGATGGAGTCACAGGCTTCTGGGTTCACTGCTCTGGCACCTACTCTAGAGATCTTTCTTTAGCTGTAGAAAATTAACGTCTAATACATTTTTATTTTGGTTTGTGGATACAATTTCTCACTATGTAGCTCTGACTAGCTTGACACTCACTATGTAGACCAGACTGGTCTCTGAGTTGCAGCAATCCTCCTGCCCCAGCCTTGCCAGTGCTGGGATGACAGGTATGCACCATCATGCCCAGCTCCTAATTCATTTTAAAAAAAAAAAAAACATTTGTTTAAAAATTTTTCCATCCCTTTTCCTCCTACTGGGTTGCCTTGTCCAGCCTTAATATGAGGGGAGGTGCCTAGTCTTACTGCAACTTGATATGCCATGTTTGGTTGATATCCCTGGGAGGCCTGCTCTTTTCTGAACAGAAACAGAGGAGGAGTGGATGGGGTGGGGACAGAGGGGAGGGAGGAGGGACTGGGAGGAGAGAAGGGAGGGGAAACAGCGGTCAGGATATAAAAATAATAATTTAAAAAATCTTTTTCCATATAATATATTTTGATCACATTCTTTCCCTTCCCCAAGCTCCTCCCAGATCTTCCCCCACTCTGCTACCCACCCAACTTCATGTTCTCTCTCTCTCTCTCCCTCCCTCCCTCCCTCCCTCCCCCTCCTTTCCTCCCTCCCTCCCTCCCTCCCTCCCTTATAAAACCCAGGGGAAACAACAATTTTTTTAAAAACTAATTCTAAAAAAGGAAAAATCAATATGACAAATATACCAAAACAGAACCAAAAAACACACAAAATATTTCATTATTTTTCTTTGAGTCTGTAACTCGTTTCTCTAAATGTGTCTGCTGTGTTGATCTGTATCTTGGACATTTTTTCATATTTCCTGTTTGTTTTGTTGTTTCACCTTACATTCCAAGAGATTTCCTCTATGTTATTTTCCAATCTCTCTGCTGACCCTTTTATTTCCAGCAACTTCTTTTCCATTTCTGAGGTGTCTTTCTGTTCTCTGATTGTTCTTGTTTTGTAGCATCTAATTCTTGTTTCATGCATGTCATATTTGCTTGAGTGATTGACAAATATAATTTTTTCTCCTGAAGTTCTCTTTTGTTACTCAAATTCCCAACCTGCTCTGGGTTCATTTGTTCCATTTGTTTTGGCTTCTTGCTTTCATGGTACAGGCTTTCTTTGCCTGGGAACCCCTGGTTATCTGTCTGTCTTTAAGAGAGAGAGTGGGCACCTGATGGAGTTTTCTCTGTTGGTATATAAACAAAGCTTTTCTCAAGCTAGGACTGTCCCCTATGAGGAAATTCTTTTTTCCCTCTTCATTTTTAAAGACAAGGGCTCACATATTCTAGACTGTCCTTAAACTCCCTATGTGGCTGAGGATGACCTTGAACTTCTGTTCCTCCAGCCTCTACCTCCTGAGTGCTGAGATTACAGACAAGCTGCACCCCATCCCATTTACACAGTACTGAAGACTCCACCCAGCACTTCATGAGTGTCGGCAAGCCTTCTGACATCCCTAGTGTCCGCACCTCCCATGAGGAGACTGCAGTGGGAAGCTTTGAGTGGCCTTAGGGTAGGTGGCAACTAGTAAGATTCAGAACCCCCAAAGGCTAGAATGAGACTTTGTTGTGTAGTGCTTAATGATGTAGGGCCAATCCTTTGTCATCTTTGTGCCAATTTATCAAAAGTCCTCAGAGAGTTTTTCCCTTGTTGATAGATGCTGGAAGTCTTGTGAATGTAATCTGTGTTCGTATAAGTGCGATAAAGGTTCTGATCCATGCTAATGGCCCCTGTGCGGGTACATTCCTCAATCCATCTTCCACAGGACCTTCAGACACTGGGCTCAGAGCATCTCAACTGTTCATCTTTCTGCCCCTTTCATGTCTCCAGTGTGGCGGGGGCTCCCCATGCTCTTTTGTTGGTGTTTTCGAGGCAGGATCTCACTGTGTACTCCAACCTGGCATGGAACTCACCATGCAGCACAGGCTGGCATCAAATTCATAGTTCTTCTGCACCAGTCTCCCAGATGCTGGGATTATAAATGTGTAGTACTATGCCTGGCCGCCATACTTTGATTTTTGCCATACCTCATCCCAGTATGCATTTACTGAATACCTACCAGATGTCAAGCATTCCAAAAGTACAGGCTCAATGTTGATAACTAAATACTATTGTTATCCTCATTTCATAGATGAGGGAACTGAGGGGGCAGAGTGGTAAGTTTCCTCACTGAATATTATGCAGCCAGTGAGCAATGAACTGCAGTTCCAACCCAGATGTTCTCAGTCCTGAGCCTATACTTTAAATGACCGAATTATACTCTTTCTCATCTCTACTGCAGCCCATCTTAACCTCTGGGTATTCTTAAGACTAGAAATCTCATGTCTGTGGAATCTCTACACTGTTAGAGTCCCTCCTCCTGTGTCAAGACTAAAGTGAGCAACAGAAAAGACTGACGCTGGGGACTTGCCTCTCCAAGCCTCTTTAAAGGCTGCTACCTTTTTAAGATGATCAGTGCTCAGTGACCTTTCTCTGGCTCCAGTTATTGAGCTCCAGTGGATGTTTATAGGAAAGAAAAACCCCACCCTGAGCCAACATAGCAAACAGACAGACCCAGCACTCTGGTATGTTTAGTTTCCATTCATCTTACAGCTGGATGAAGGGGGAAAAGGAGGCACAGAACTGGCCCTTCTCCAGGCAAGATGCCAGCCTCAGCTCTTGGACAATCCTGGTTTGTGTAGGCCTCAATGCCACATTCAGAGACTTCCCCACCCTTCAGCATGGTCCCTCCCTCTCAAGAGAAGGGATACCTGGAAGTTTAAAAGAGAGAGGCCTTGGAGATCAGGGCCAGACATTGTGGATGAGAACAGCAGGCCCGGACCAGAAGTGGCACCATGTCTGAATGGGGGTGCCTCAGCTGTGTCACTGTTTTGCTGACCATCCTCCTAGACCTAACACACCAGGGACCCCATGGCTCTGCCTCGTCCAACAGCAAGGTCAGTTCTAGCATGAGAAGACAATGGGGCGGGAGGAACAGAGGTCTCTCGGTCTGCTTCTGCAGGGCTGAGAAGCTAGGGCCAGAGGAAAGAGTTGCTAAGTGCCAGTCAGGTGGTGTGCCAGTAGTCTTGGTTACGGTTTCAGTTAGTCCTCACAGCACCCCTGTAAGCCACACTCTCTTATTATTCCCATTAGAGGGGGGGGAACACAGGCTCAGACAGGAAGCAGCAGAGCCAGAGCTTGAACCTACACCCAACTGATTCCAGATTGCCTCTTTGTCCCACTTCCCCACACTAAGAACAGACGAGATGTACGTGATGTGTGGGTGGAGGGAGGGATCATAACTTCAGGGAAGACAGGGAAGAAGATAGTTATCTCACTACTGTGTGACCTCAGTGTCTGAGCCTCAGTTAACGTATCTGTAAGATGTGGGAAATACTAGAACTTAACTCCTCAGACGGTGAGGATTAAATAGGATCATGAGTGCTGAACACTTAGCATGATTGCAGTATTTTACTGTACTTACCAGGCTCAATCTTTATAGCTGCAATCATAAAAACCTAAATATTTATCCCACTGCCTTGTAATAATGTAGGACCCAGTGACTCCATCTATTCTGTTCCATTTGAAAGCTTTTGCTAGAATGTTATGTTCATTCTAAAGTGAAATCTGTGGATCACCAGCAGCAGTGGTGGCAGCTTCAGGGAATTTGGGGGCAAGGAAGACATCAATCACCCTCTCCCTGCCCCAGGGTTGCTGAATTAGAACCCATGTTTAGTGAGATCTGAGTTCAGTAAAATCAGAGAAGTGCTTGTCCAGAAGCACTTTGATTTGGAATCATCTGGGTACCTTTACTTTGAGATTTGCTTGCTGCACTCTCAGGCACATCCATGTATAACAGAGGTCACTTTCTCGAGGTGCCTCCGTTTCTCCTCCTCCAGTTCAGGAACCTTGAGCTCCCACATACCAGCCCATCTTGGCCAATAAAGGACCCTCTCTAAGTCACCTCTCTTGTATTCTCTTCCAGTTGTTGATGACGAGCTATTCCATACATTCCACTGTGGTGTCTCGTTATGCACACACTTTGGTCACCTCTATCCTCTGCAATTCCCATGATGAGGCCCATGAAGCCACCTTTGACCTGGATCTACCTCGAGTCGCCTTTATCTCCAATTTCACGATGTAAGTCTGCTTCCAAATTCATGGCTTCATTCATTTGTGCACACATTCATTCAGTCTGTTTGCTCATTCACAAGTGCAGAGCACTTAAGAGGACGGATTGGAAAATCAGACTCCTTGATTTTGAATCCTGCCTCTGCCAGCTGTGGGACTCAGGACATGC